ATTTTCTGAATGATATACAGAAAAAAATCAACAAATTAAAATATATATATATATATTTGAGGAGGACGCATAAAAATTTACTTCATGTTAAATAGTAGAGGTGATAAACATTACCAGTGAAATCTACCTGATGACTTTATATCCATACTCAGGTACTAGGGATCCAAGTGCAACTGACTGTGAGTAGTAATAATCAGATACATAGAGATTAAAGACACATGTGCAAACATGTACATGTTAGTAGCATTAAAAATGTAGGAAACAGCATATTTTAAAATGAAATGGAGGTCTTCTTTAAAGGGTAAATACTCATTCAATTTTATATCTTACAGGGTTTGTACTGAGTTCAACATTGTATGAGTGTATTAATCTTGTTTTTTTAAAATAACAATGACTATAGTTTGCTCTTAGAAATAGACCTGGATGCATCATAAACTGAATAATATTACTTTTAATGCCTCTTCCAAGAGATGAAAAGACTTGAATTTATCATGTTATGAAACTATGTTGATAAGCATTTATAAGGTAACACCCATGTTCTGCTCTCTATTAATTGGACATCATGAATGCTTAGCATTTCCTTTCATTTTCCAAAGTAGTAAATAACAGTACTGAGACTTCTGAAGTTAGGTCAGCATCTAGCTGCACTGCTGCATGCCACTCCAACTTGCAAACTTGAAATTATAAACAGAAGCACTTGTTGAGCTGTCTTTTCATCTTTTTTAACTTAAAAAATTTATTGAGAACTTCATACATGCATATAAGGTGTTTTGACCAAATTCACACCCACTCCCTCCCCTCCAACTCCTCCCATATCTCCCCACCACTTTTTTCTGACAACTTCACGTACTTTTTCTTTTTTTTTCACATGGGGATTTTTGCTACTCTAACATTCCCTCCTCTAAAGAGGTAACCCTAAAATCTTTTAGTGATTAGATAAAAGCTCCCAAATACTTTTGATAATTTTGATCTTTGGAACAGAGTATGTTGCCAAGAGGCCCAAAGACATTTTGACTTTTAGCCAAGAAACTGGCTACTTTTCTTTGGGATCTTTTTACCCTAAACACATAGCCAATTCCTACTTCCTATTCTTATCACACCATCCTCTGAAGAGGTTACCAAAATTGAGAATAGGGAATGGGGTGCAGACTGCTCAGGCTTCTTCATGCTGAACAGGGATGCAGAGTGAGGTAATTGGGGTACCCCTTCAGTGGGTCTATCTAAAATGCTCCCAAATTGCATAAATCTTATCTGTATGGTGAAATAAAGACCTTGACTTGTGAACAGATGTGAAGGAGAAGTAAAGGCAAGAGTAGATAGCATTTCAAGTTCTAGACAGGGAACCAGAAAAAAAGTCAGAACTGGGCAAATTTCAAATGTTCATATCAGAGTCCATTGGAATTTCTTGATGTGAACTTCCAAAAGCATCCCTCTATTGGGTTCCTCCTCATTTTCCTTCTGTTTGCCAAGGCTGGACTCAAGGGTGATGGACTCAGGATTTGTTTTCAGGCACTTTGATAGCTGTTGGAATTGCTAGAATCAG